TCGCTTGCCAGCACTAACAGTAACATTTTAAAGTATTTTCATTTTTGTGTATTTTGGCACAATTTTGGAAAAGTCATCACATTTCAGGATAAAAGAATGACACATATGGTATTTTTTACTACTGATGAATGTCAAAACGGGTCAAATTTTACCCGAATAGTATGTAAGGGTTAAAAGTACTGTACCTGATACGGCTTTAAAAACATTCAAGACAGAACTGGTTCATTTGAAACAGTTTGCCGTCGTTTTTCTCACTTACCTTTTGCATTCAGAGCATCCGCCGAGATGAGTTTAAGTGCTTTTCTCCACTTTGACAGAATAATTGGAGGTAATCTGAAGGTAACATCTGGTCTTTTCAAAAGGACAGACACAAAAACGAGACGAACTAAATCAGATCTGACGGAGCTGCAAGAAACACAAACGTTCACATCATTTCATATTGTCGCCTAAAGCTTTTGTCACTTTAGACTCGCTCGCAGTGGGAAGAGGAAACACAACTTCTACTCGAGTAAAAGCCTATTCATACTTCATAAAAACTTTGTTCTTGTTCTTGAGGTGATAAGAACGAGAACAAAGTTTGTTTGGGCTCTGACGTTTCGTACTTCAAAAGATGTTCTGCTGCCGAACTTCCCCGCCCCCTCGCTCTAGCTCTGTACCGAGGGGATTTCGTTTCATCCTTCAGCCTGACTGCTCTTCTTCTTTTTTTTTTTTTGGTGACTTGCCTTTTGGCTTTCGCAAACTTGTCATGGAGATTACGCCAGACTTTTCTACTCTGATTTTCATCCGAGCCTAACATGTCCACGAGCTTCCTCCATGATTTTCTTCATCTTCTTTATCGTCATTGAGCATCGTGTCGTATAGATGTTGTATTTTCTCTTCATTTCTGCCAGCTCTGATTCAAAACCGTCCTGTTTTGTGTTTTTTTTTTTGTGTGTTTTTCTCTTGCTCCCTCTGACAAGAAAGCAGCCGTTGGATCTCACTGCCCATTGGCTCCGGTAGATAAATCACGCCCACATAAATAACCAATCAGAGCGAAGACGTCGGACAGCGCTGCCAAACAAGCTGAACAAATTGCTCTGGGTGCAAGAACAAAGTTTTTCTGTTCTCATGAAGTATGAATAGAGTACTGTTACTTCAGTACAAATATTACTCAAGTATGAGGGTTTTCGTTACCCTCAACAGATCATTTCCGTTATTTACAAATAAGGCACTACATTCAAAGTCATGCTGAATGGAAAAAAATTTAATGTAACGAGCAATACTTTATAACAATACAAGAAAAGCATTACATACAAGATGGTGATGGGAGATTTGGGAGAACATACACGGGATATCAGAGATAAATGGGAACTGGAGTTAAATGTAATTATTGAGGATAAGACATATGTGTGTTTGATCAGCCACAAAGGTGTCAACAGTAATCTATGGAAGGAATTTGATTGGAAGACAAAACTTAGATATTTTAGAACCCCTTTAATCATCTCCCGTTCTTAGTAATTATTGGCAGGACATAGAAATAGAAAAAGATACTGTCTTGTGAACTCTCCATGGATCCGCTGATATATGTATTAGGAGCACTGTCAGATAATGTATGTGTAAAAGATCAAAAATATGTTCTTCGTATTCTTCTGATGATTGCATGAAAAATGAAAACTGTTAACTAGAGGAAACCCTCCCCTCCAACAAGGACAGAATGGACACAGAGGCTGCGTTCAGACTGCAGCCTGAAGTGACCCAAATCCGATTTTTTGGCCCCTATGTTCCTGTATCTGATCTTTTAATGACAGTCTGAACAACACAGATCCAATTTTTTCAAATGTGACCCAGGACACTTGGATATGTGCTCCTGAAACCGATACATATCTGATCTTTTGACATGTGACTTCAGTCTGAACGGACAAAGTGCATTCATCCACCTACACGTTATCAACAAGCCACAAACGTCACTATTCTGCACTGAAGTAGGCGAAAATTGTTAATGAACTCCGTGTCACTGAAGTGAAGCACATCACCACTCACCACTCTTGGCTCCGTCTCCACATCCACATGTTCCTTTCAACGGACGTCGCTGCCCACAAAACACCACGGCCAAAAACCTCGTCCTTCTCCTTCTCAATCTCCTCCTTCAAACAAGTAAGTTGTTCATGTTCTGGCTCCGGTACGAGAGGAACTTTAAAATCTCCAGGTGCTCGATGCTCGCGTCCATGTTTGGACAACTTCTGTAAACACAGAGACGCTCGCTGCGGTTGACGTCGTCGTGTCTCCAGTGCACATGCGGGACACTTTCAGGTCGTTTAATGTTCACACAGGAGATCACATACAAGTCACATTTAATTGGAAATATGAACGACCTCGAAAAAACATCGGATTTCACAAAAAAATTGGAATTGAGCGTTAAGCCCTGCAGTCTGAACGTAGCCTAAAACAAGTCTACATCATGGAACTTCAGATAAAAATGGAAGTATTCTTAGAACGATGGACTCCGGTGACTGTGTACCTGAATAATAACTATTATAATAACCCTCTGTCAAGGATTGTTCTAAATGTTTATCTTAATAAACTAAAGTTCAAAAAAATATATATATATTACTCAAGTAGAAGTAAAAGTATGGTGTCTGAAAGCAACTCAGGAGTACAGCTCAGAGAAGTATAATTTAATTAAAAGTTTACTCAGGTGACTGTGCTCTGTTTGTATCTGACTCACTGGTACAGGACTGGCTGTTCTCCGCCGGTCCGGGCTCGGTTCTGTCCCGTGGGCGCGTTTCGAGGATGTCACGTGACCTGAGTGGGATTTGAGCTTGAGGAGATCTTCCCCTTTAATGAAAGCGCAAACACGCCAAGTCCAAGATCCAAATTCAAGAACCAAGTCCAGGATCCAGGTCTAAGATCCAAGTCCAGACCAGGGCCAGGAGGGTTTGCCAACAGCCACGTCCACAAATCTGTCATCTGAGCGGAGGAGAGTTTGAGCTCTTATTTATTCTTTTATTTATTTTAACGAGAGATGATGACATAGGCACTTTATCTACAGTTTTATTTTCATAATTGATGATGCACCTAGGATTCGACGGCATTTTGTTACAAATTTATTTAAAAAAGTAGAAATGCTGTGCTCTAGTGTGATGTTTAGTGTGATGTGCGTCCATAGAAGGAGCCCTCAGCATGCGACACTTTGTTGTGACGACTCCCACTGGGCCCCACCATGATTTTAGATGAATATTTTGATTTAAAATGTCTAAATTATAACATCATGATCCACAGGTGTCACAGATTATAACTACAGCAGACAGAGTAAATAATCACTTCTATGTCATGATAACAACTCAGGAGTGCATTAGCAAAAACAGATCAGAGCCAGTTGAAAATAAAAGTCTCAGGTTTGTAATTTACTCTTTAGACGCGGTGTGTTTTCAAAAGCAAAATCTCTTTTAGTGCGACACAAAACATGATTCTATCAGATTCACTCAGAGAAGCAGATCTGTTTTTGCAAACACGCCGTTCAATGGCTGCTCCAATCTATCACAAAACCGTCTGCAGAGTGGAAAAAAACATCATTTGTGTTTTACTGTGAACGAAAGGAGAGCCGCGTCTGCCCGTCAACACCTGAAGGATAAACATGTGTCTGATGTGCAGAGCTTTAAAAACACAAATCTCAAAACGTAAACAAGAAAACAGTTCCATTTGTGATTTCTCAATCTCACTAGAATCCAGCTGGGTAAAAAAAAAAAAAATACAGTACATAAATCTCCAGAGTGTTATAGAGTCTGTGGTGATGTTAAAGAGGTTTCAGCACCACGGACAGCTCCTTCAGTTTTTGCCAGAGCCTCCACTAAAGCGCTCCTCTCCTGCTCATGTGCTGTATTTTACACATGCACTGTGCGTTTACAGTGTTATTAGAATTATTCGACACACACACACACACACACACACACACACCTCACTGTATAACAACAACAGTCTTATCTTCTGCTCAGTTCAGTTTTGAATTTTGGAGTTTTTAATCTGAACTTGTGCTTTTCTTCTATGCACTTCATGTTTGAGTAACTCTGTATATTTAGTGTTTCTGTGTTCCAAATGCTCTGGGGTATTTCAGCGAGTGCTCCTTTGTGTTTTTAAAGTCCATTCTGCTTCATCTACACTATTATGTATTAGTGTAGATGAAGCAGAATTTACACAGTGGCCACACCGGCTTGTCAAAGCCTGATCCCGTCCGATCTCAGAAGCTCAGCGGGGCTCGGTCAGGACTTGGTGGGAGACACTGGGAATTCCAGGAGCCTCAGGGGGGCGCCAGTGGGAAAAAACTGTCATGGTGCAAGACACTTCACCCACATTGCCTAGTATGAAAGTGCTGTGTGTGTGAGTGATGGTGGTGGTCGGAGGGGCCGATGGCGCAGATTGGCAGCCTTGCTTTCGTCAGTGTGCCCCAGGGCAGCTGTGGCTTCAGTAGTAGTTTACCACCACTGAGTGTTGAGTGAATGAATAATGAACTGTAAAGTGCTTTGGATATCTTCAAAGGCACTATATAAATGCAATGATTCATTAATTAATTAATTAATCAGCGGAAACACTACGGTGGAGTGTATTCAACTCAGATTTTCGTGTTTTTAAGCCCCAAAAAACGGCGTCACTGTCTAAACGAAAGGCACTTCCGATAAAATATTTTTTTGTTTTTTCCTGCAGGCGTTCTCATTTAAACAGACCCTGACCCTCATGCAGGTCATATCTGTGGAGAGGCAACTACACTCATGGAATATTTTTATTTTATTTTATTTATTTTTTTGCCATTAAAACACATGTAACAGCATGAAAGGTTTAATGCCATTTTCCTTTGATATTCTCCTTTTTTCATGTGTTCAATTGAAGTGTTTTTAGTATCATATCATATAACTTCATGAACCTACTGTTGTTGTGTCTCTGGGCAAGACCCTTCTCTCTTCTCTCCGCTCCCGTAGCGCCCCCTCCTGGTGTGAACGTGTCTCTCAAAGCTCCCTCTTGTGTCTCAGGAGCGTCTGGTTCTGTCGGTGCTGCCGCGCTTCGTCGTCCTGGAGATGATCAACGACATGACCAACGTGGAGGACGAGAACCTCCAGCACCAGTTCCACCGCATCTACATCCACCGCTACGAGAACGTCAGGTGAGCTCAGACACGCACTAACATTCCCCAGTCTGAGTCACGCGCCCGATCTGCGTCAGCCATGCCAGTCGACATCTTGAACTCTTTTATCGTTATTTTACGCAACAGAAACAGAAACGCTTTAATGATGTTATAAGTTGTCAGATGTAGCCGTTCCTTTAAAGACGAGATATTTAACTTCTATGGGTGTTAAATGATCATACCGGGTGTATCCAGTGTGATATTTTCCATCGTTTCACTCAAACTGTTCGACCAAATCTCAGGGTTTAAAAGTTCACCGCTCACGATTCATGTTCTCACACTGTACGAACGACTTCAACAGAGCGAAACCCTAATAGTCCAATGAGGTTCATTTGGTCTTCCGATATTTTATTTTATTAGCCCTCGTGCACCCTTTTAAAATAATCACACCTGTCGTCCTCCGTGACAAAAATGTACACCGGAAAAGAATGCCACAATATTTTTATATAGTACAAATTTTTGTCCATCTTTTTTATATCTGTGTCTTCATTTACTTCTGTCCTAATCGTACATACCAAATATTAAATAATATTTTGGAATTTGAACCCCTTAAATGACATTTTTGACAGCAAAAGTCTCAAATTATGTGCATGAAAAAAAAAAGAAATAATTAGTTGTTGTTGTTTTTTTCTATGTCTTTCAAGGAATTTTAATTAGTTTGTGTTGGGATTATCAGAGGCTGGGGCTCCTCTAGAACACGTCCACATCATTTTAACCTCAAATATCTACGTCTCTGGACTTCAGTGTGACTCATGTGTACAAATGTCTTTCTATTGATATAACCTTGTAATGTAATAAAAAGAAATATATCAAAATAGTAAAAATAAAAACAAAATATCAATATCACTAAAACAAAACTATTTGAAGGGTTTTCAACACCAAAGAATGAAAAATACATCAAAAAGTAAAAATATATTGGCAAAGTTATGCCAGTGAGAAAAAGCCGTTTTCAATGGAAATCAATGGGCCAAAAATGTACTGAAAAGGCGACCGGATTTCAAAACAGGTTTGAAATTCTTGCGACCTACGATTGCCGATTGGAAGCTGGTCATGAGGTATTCATCAGTTCTCATTACCCCATGTTTACTACACGAAGAACGGCACATGATTAAGTGAAAACTCGTCGCACAAGTGAAAAATCATGACAAAAATCACACAGTGTACGTCCGGTTTAAAACATCTTCATTCCCTTTCACTGATATGAAAATGTGATATTCCCCGAAAAAAAACAAAAAAAACCCAAACATATTAACATGTTTTATAAGCTTCACTTTCATTTTTGCAATTTTGCTCTCCGTACTAAGTCACTCCCCCTTCAGACAACAACAATCAGCGTGCATCCCGCTCATGAAACTACTGCACATTTTGTATCATGTTTTTGTACATTTATGGAGAGACGAAGCGAAGCTTTGGACAAAATCTTACAGCTAACTGTAAAAAGGGTTTGAATAGAGCCCAGAAGAGATCGCTAGATTACTCAAACATGCATGTACGACATCTAAAAATTCCTCAGGCATGTTTTTGATGAGGGAACAGAGTTATAGCATCAGAGAAAGCTGATTTTGCACTACACTATATCAAGTTTGCAAATAAAAGTTTCCAAATTGTATGTTTTTCGAAAAAGTCCCCAGAAAATCACGAAAAATAAAATCTGATGCTGAAACCAGTTCATGTTTTTTAAATTTTATATTATTTATTTTCGGCAAGTAAGAGCTTTACATTTCTATATAGTGGAACATATAACATTAGTGAAATCAGAATAGAAACAACCACAACAAAAACTTTGCCCAAAAAGGAGTGGGAAGTTGAAAATGTACCTAAAACTATGAGCTTTCTTTCGCATTTTAGAGACATTTTGCATTAAACTATTTGAATTACTTGCACGTGCGGACAGTGAGTAACCGTAATAGCTCAGTAACATAACTTTCATCATGTTACAATAATACATAAGTGTACCAACAATGAGGTTTATTAACCTTTAGGCATGTAACAATAACCGAAATGTCGTGGTATCGTATCGTCAAAAGTCTCACAATAATATCGTGCGCTGTCACAATATATTGAATTGCAAGTTCCTTTGCTTAAATGCATGGTTTTATAGTAGCAACAGTTAATAAACAAAGTAACTACATATCCAATGATTCATTTCAGTGCAAACAACATGAAGAAATATGAAATATGTATCCTATCTACAGTTCTAGTAGGTTCTCCAAAATATCGCAATAAATATCGTACCATGAGGTTTGGATATCGCCCTATTAACAGTTCGATGTCGTGCTTTTCCCAACGTTCGTCTCATTTTGAAAGTAAAATAAACATGTTTAAAGAGTAAAACTGAGTGAAAGCGTGTTGGATGTAGTTTGTTTGTCCGTGTTCCGCGTACGAATCCTGACGCAAATTTGGTTGTGACTCAGACTGGGGAATGACGCCCCACAGGAGGGGACGGGAGACACGCCGGGCTGGACCGATCACGACGTTTACGAGAGTTTTATCTGGACCCGTTCTCTCTCTTTTCTTTCTCTTTTCTTTTCTCTCTCTAAAAATGTTTAAGAAAAACTACAGGATTTTAAAAGAGCTTTGATTTGTTTTCATGTAATAAAGTAAAATTAGTTCATCCGCTGTATTGTAAAAAGCGTCTAACAATTGTCGTTTTATCAGGAACTAAGGCCGGTGCACCGTTAGCATGCTAGTTGTTGACTCAGGACGGGACATAAAAAAGGTCAGACCCGCTCTCTCTCTTCTCGATTTCTTTTCTCTCTCTGTCTTCTTCTCTTCTTCATCTCTTTTCTCTCTCTTCTCCCTCTTTTCCCTCTTCTACCTCTCTTTCTGTCTTTCTCTTCTTGTCTTCCTCTCTCTTCCCGATTTCTTCTCTCTGTCTCTTTTTTCTTTCTCATTCATCTCTCTTCTTATCTTCTTCTCTCTCTTTTTTCTCTCTCTCTTCTCGTCCTCTCCTCTCTTTAACTGTAATAAAACTGTAATAAAACTTGTAAATGGTGTAATAATCATTGTTATAACCGGTGAGCGGTCTGAGTCCCGGTCTGAGTCCCGGTCTGAGTCCCGGTCTGAGTCCCGGTCTGAGTCCCGGTCTGAGTCCCAGTCTCTGAGTCCCGGTCCCGAGTCCCGGTCTGAGTCCAGGTCTGAGTCCCGGTCTGAGTCCCGGTCTGAGTCCCGGTCTGAGTCCCGGTCTGAGTCTCTGAGTCCAGTCCCGGTCCTGAGTCCCGGTCTGAGTCTCGGTCTTAGTCCCGGTCTGAGTCCAGGTCTGAGTCCCGGTCCGAGTCCCGGTCTGAGTCCCGGTCTGAGTCTCGGTCTTAGTCCCGGTCTGAGTCCCGGTCTGAGTCCAGGTCTGAGTCCCGGTCTGAGTCCAGGTCCTGAGTCCCGGTCTGAGTCTCGGTCTTAGTCCCGGTCTGAGTCCTGGTCTGAGTCCCGGTCTGAGTCCCGGTCCTAGTCTCAGTCTGAGTCCCAGTCTGAGTCCCGGTCCGTGTCCTGGTCCGAGTCCTGGCCCGTGTCTCGGTCCGTGTCTTGGCCTGAGTCCCGGTTCGTGTCTCGGCCTGAGTCCCGGTCTGAGTCCCGGCCGTGTCTCCTGCGGTCCCGGCGGCGGCCTGCGGTCCGGCGGCGGCCTGCGGTCCCGCGGCGGCCTGCGGTCCCGGCGGCGGCCTGCGGTCCCGGCGGCGGCCTGCGGTCCCGGCGGCGGCCTGTGGGGGGCGCTCTCTGATGTTTCCTCTGTTGTGGATCAGACAGTGACGTGTCCATATTTTATGCAGCATTCTTTTCGCAGACGTCAAAGGCTTCACCAACCTGTCGACCACGTTGTCCGCGCAGGAACTCGTCCGCATGCTCAACGAACTGTTCGCACGATTCGACCGCCTGGCACATGTGAGTCTGCACCAGGACCTGGACCAGACCAGGACCAGACCAGGACCGGACCAGGACCAGACCAGGACCAGACCAGGACCAGACCAGGACTTGACCAGATCAGAACAGAGCCAAGACCAGACCAGGGCCAGACCAGACAGGACCAGACCAGGGCCAGACCAGGACCAGATCAGGACCAGATCAGGACCAGACCAGGACCAGATCAAGACCAGACCAGGACCAGACCAGGACCAGGGCCAGGACTAGGACAGGTCCAGACCAGGACCAGATCAGGACCAGACCAGGACCAGACCAGGACCAGGGCCAGGACTAGGACAGGACCAGACCAGGACCAGGACTAGGACAGGACCAGACCAGGACCAGATCAGGACCAGACCAGGACCAGGACCAGGACAGGACAGGACTAGGACAGGACCAGACAAGACCAGACCAGACCAGATCAGGACCAGACCAGGGAAAGGACCGGACTAGGACCAGACCAGGACAGAACCAGGACTGAATCTGGATCAGGGCCAGGACTAGGACAGTACCAGACCAGGACCAGGACAGGGCCAGAACAGGATCAACACAGGACCAGACCAGGAATGGACCAGACTAGCGGGACCATGACCAGAATAGACAGGACCAGACCAGGACCAAGCCAAGGACAGGGCCAGACCAAAACCAGGATCAGGTCAGGATCAGACCAGGACCAGATCAGACCTCAACCCGGAACCAGGGACTGAACCAGGACTGAAATAAGATCAGATTGCATAGATTTATCGTGTGTACAGTTTCTTTGCACTAGTGGGAGATGTTTGGTTATTTTTGGACAATATGATAAGATGAAAACTGCAAAACGTTGAATTAATAACTTCTATGACTCATTACAGATGCAAACTAAACCTTAAACTGTTTCATTCTGCTGTTTATTTAGAGCAGCTTATGATTTTTTTTTTTACAATATTGTACATTTAGAAGAGTTTTGGAGCACAAGTGTGAGGTTGTATTTCAGGTCCTTACGCAAAACCGACTCTTGTGAGCTTTAAAATGTGTTATAATGTTACCTCCTCCTGGGCTGGTGTGGGCTGGTTTGGGTTGGTGGTTTGGGCTGGTTTGGGCTGGTTTGGGTTGGTTTGGGCTGGTGTGGGTTGGTTTGGGCTGGTGTAGGTTGGTTTGGGCTGGTTTGGGCTGGTTTGGGTTGGTTGGGTGGGTTTTGGGCTGGTGTGGGCTGGTTGGGCTGGTTGGGCTGGTTGGGTTGGTTTGGGCTGGTTTGGGCTGGTTTGGGCTGGTTTGGGCTGGTTTGGGCTGGTTTGGGTTGGTTTGGGCTGGTTTGGGCTGGTTGGGCTGGTTTGGGCTGGTTTGGGCTGGTTTGGGTTGGTTTGGGCTGGTTGGGCTGGTGGCTGGTTTGGGTTGGGCTGGTTTGGGTTGGGCTGGTGGTTGGGTTGGTTGCTGGTGGGCTGGTTGGGTTTGGGCTGGTTTGGGCTGGTGGGGCTGGTGTGGGCTGGTTGGGCTGGTTTGGGCTGGTTTGGGCTGGTTTGGGCTGGTTTGGGCTGGTTTGGGCTGGTGTGGGCTGGTTTGGGCTGGTTTGGGCTGGTTTGGGCTGGTTTGGGCTGGTTTGGGCTGGTTTGGGTTGCCAGGGACCCCCCGGAGGAGCTGGGAAAAAAGTGTGTGAGTCTCTGTCAGCTCTGGAGGAAAGATGAAAGAGGGATGAGATGAGAGGAAAAAAGAAAAGTGCAGAACGTGACTGTGACAGATGTAAACACATGACAGAGCAGCTCTGGACCTCACAAGGACTCCAACTCTCTCTCTTTCTCTCTCTCTCTCTCTCTCTCTCTCTCTTTCTCTCTCTTCTTCTTTCTTCTCTTCATCTCTCTTTGCGTTCTCTTGTGTCTCTTCTCTCCTTCTCTCTCTCATGTCCTCCCTCTTTCTGCCTCCCTCTCTTTATCATCTGCCTCTCTTACTTCCACTCTCCTCTCTCTCTTCCTCTGTCTCTCCCTCTCGCTTTTTCTCTCCTTCTCTCTCTTCTCCCTCACTTTTCTCTTCTCCCTTTAACCCCCTCTCCCTCTCTCTCTCTCCCTGGCTCTTTTCTCTTTCTCTCTCTGTCTCTCTCTTTTCCCTCCTCCTTTAACCTCCTCTCCTCCCTCCCTCCCTCCCTCCATTTTCCTCTCCTCTCTTTACCCTCCTCTCCTCCCTCTCTCTTTCTCCCCCGCCCTCCCTCTTCTCCCTCTCTCTTCTTCTCCTCCCTTTAACCCCCGTCTCTCCTCCCTGTCCCCCTCTCCTCCCTCTCTCTTTCTTCTCCTCCCTTTATCCCACTCTCTCCCTTTCCTCTGTCTCTCTCCTCTCTCTCCCTCTCTCTTTCCTCTCCTCCCTCTCTCTTTCCTCTCCTCCATTTCTCTTTTCTCTCCTCTTCCTCCTCTCTCCTCTCTTTCCTCTCCTCCATTTCTCTTTTCTCTCCTCCCTCTCTCTTTCCTCCACTCCCTTTAACCCCCCTCTCTCCCTCTCCTCTGTCTCTCCCTCTCTCTCCTCTCTCTTTCCTCTCCTCCCTCTCTTTCCTCTCCTCCCTTTAACGCCTCTCTCTTCCCTGTCTCTTTCCTCTCCTCCCATTAACCCCCCCCTCTCCTTCTCTATTTTCTCTCCCCCTCTTCCTCTCCCTCTTGCCTCCTCTCTCTTTCCTCTCCTCCCTTTAACCCCCTCTCTCCTCCCTCTTTCCTCTCCTCCCTTTATCCCTCTCTCTCTTCCTTCTCTCTCCAGGAGCATCATTGTCTTCGTATAAAGATCCTGGGTGACTGTTATTACTGTGTGTCTGGTTTACCGGAGCCCCGCCCAGACCACGCCCACTGCTGCGTCGAGATGGGCCTCAGCATGATCAAGACCATCAGGTGAGACCCGGGACCGGACCGGGACTGGACCAGGACTCGACCAGGACTAGACGAGAACTAGATCTGAATGGTCAAATTATGAGCGCGTGCGAGAGATTCAGATGCCCTCCCCTGGAGAGCGAAAGGAGCGAGGGAAGGATACGAGGATATGTGGACACAGACTGAGCACGAAACACAACAGATACAGATCAGACGCTGTTATTCTGCCAATAAAAGACCACACGAAACAGCCAAACTGCTGACCTGGGTGTGGGCCTGGGTCTTACCTCTGTGAGTGTGGGTCTGACCTCTGTGAGTGTGGGTCTGGGTCTGACCTCTGTGAGTGTGGGTCTGACCTCTGTGAGTGTGGGTCTGACCTCTGTGAGTGTGGGTCTGGGTCTTACCTCTGTGAGTGTGGGTCTGACCTCTGTGAGTGTGGGTCTGACCTCTGTGAGTGTGGGTCTGGGTCTGACCTCTGTGAGTGTGGGTCCTGACCTCTGTGAGTGTGGGTCTGACCTCTGTGAGTGTGGGTCTGACCTCTGTGAGTGTGGGTCTGGGTCTGACCTCTGTGAGTGTGGGTCTGACCTCTGTGAGTGTGGGTCTGGGTCTGGGTCTGACCTCTGTGAGTGTGGCCTGGGTCTGACCTCTGTGAGTGTGGGTCTGACCTCTGTGAGTGTGGGTCTGACCTCTGTGAGTGTGGGTCTGGGTCTGACCTCTGTGAGTGTGGGCCTGAGTCTTACCTCTGTGAGTGTGGGTCTGGGTCTGACCTCTGTGAGTGTGGGCCTGAGTGTCTTACCTCTGTGAGTGTGGGTCTGGGTCTGACCTCTGTGAGTGTGGGTCTGACCTCTGTGAGTGTGGGTCTGGGTCTGACCTCTGTGAGTGTGGGTCTGACCTCTGTGAGTGTGGGTCTGGGTCTGACCTCTGTGAGTGTGGGCCTGAGTCTGACCTCTGTGAGTGTGGGTCTGGGTCTGACCTCTGTGAGTGTGGGCCTGAGTCTGACCTCTGTGAGTGTGGGTCCTGAGTCTGACCTCTGTGAGTGTGGGTCTGGGTCTGACCTCTGTGAGTGAGGGTCTGAGTCTGACCTCTGTGAGTGTGGGTCTGGGTCTGACCTCTGTGAGTGAGTGGGTCTGGTCTGACCTCTGTGAGTGTGGGTCTGGGTCTGACCTCTGTGAGTGTGGGTCTGACCTCTGTGTCTGGGTCTGACCTCTGTGAGTGTTATAAATGAGGTCCCAGACTACGACACCTGGTCTTTATCAGTATAAAAAAAAATTAAAAATAAAATTAAAAGTTCTAACCCAGGACTAAACTAAAACCAAACCAGGACAACACACCAGGATTAAACCAGGATTAAACCAGGACTAAAACCAGGACTAAACAAGGAAGGTACCTGAACTGCAACTGAAGTAAAGCAGGGCTGTACCAAGGCTAAACCAGAACTAAACCAGGATCAAACCAGGACTAAACCATCTGAACTAAACCAGGACCAACCCAAGAATACACCTGAATTGCAACTGAACTAAATCAGGACTGAACCAAGGCTAAACCAGGCCTAAACCAGGACTAAAACCAGGATTAAACCAGGACTAAACCAGAACTAAATCAGGATTAAACCAGGACTAAACCAGGATTAAACCAGGACTAAACCAAGACTAAACCAAAACAAATCCAGAACTAAACCAGAACTAAACCAGGACTAAACCAAAACAAATCCAGAACTAAACCAGGATTAAACTAAGACTAAACCAGAACTAACCCAGGACTAAAATCCCTCTGTTGAAGACATAGTCCTCTAAAAGTTGAGACATCCTGAGTTTCCTCCCGCTGCTCTCGGCGTGAGTCTAATGCTCTGCCCCTGGCGCCGCGCTGCCTGCCCTGCCGCACCTGTCACAAACTCCCATCATGCCTTTCACCTGGCCTTCAGCACAGGGAGCTTATGAGGCGTGAAATGAGAGCCGCAGTGCGCAGAACAGAGCAGCTCCTCGCGCTTTTGTCTCTGAACCGCGGGACGCTCCTGGATCACACAAAACCCGACTCCCGAGAGCTCGGAGTCTCGTTCTAATGATGCTCCCTCCTCGAAAAAAATGTGTTTGAGGAGTAATATGGAAGATCATTTGTTCCATCAGATTTAGAATTTTAAATACTGATGACTTTCTCACTTAAAATTTTTTTTAATTCTGAAAAAATGAATTATTGAATTATCTTTATTCTTAATTTTAGTTGCTGAAATTTTAAGTGTACTTTTACAATATGTTTTTAATTCAAAAAAAAAAAAAAAAAAAACACCTTTTAAATATTCAGCACAAATATTTTCATGCCCACAAATTCAACAGTCAAAATTCAGTGTAAAATTCAAACACTCTGAATTTTACACTGAATTTCACACTCTGACCCAGTTTTAGTCCTGTTTTGCTCCTGGTTTAGTCCTGTTTTAGATCCAGTTCAGTCCTGGTTTATACCCAGTTTAGTCCTGGTTTAGTCCTAGTTTAGTCCTGGTTTAATTCTAGTTTAGTCCTAGTTTAATCCCGGTTTGCCCCTGATATAGTCCTGGTTTAGACCCAGTTTAGTCTCGGTTTGGTCCTGTTTTAGTCACTGTTTAGTCCTGGTTTAGACCCAGTTTAGTCCTGGTTTAAACCCAGTTTAGTCCTAGTTTAGACCCAGTTTAGTCCCAGTTTAGTCCTGGTTTAGTCCTGATTTAGACCCAGTTTAGTCCCAGTTTAGTCCTGGTTTAGTTCTGATTTAGACGCAGTTTAGTCCCAGTTTAGTCCTGATTTAGACCCAGTTTAGTCCCAGTTTAGTCCTGGTTTAGTCCTGATTTAGACCCAGTTTAGTCCTAGTTTAGACCCAGTTTAGACCCAGTTTAGTCCCAGTTTAGTCCTGGTTTAGTTCTGATTTAGACGCAGTTTAGTCCCAGTTTAGTCCTGATTTAGACCCAGTTTAGTCCTAGTTTAGTTTAGTCCCGGTTTAGTCCTGATTTAGACCCAGTTTATTCCTGGTTTAGCCCTGGTTTAGCCCTGGTTCAATCCTGGTTTAAACCCAGTTTAGTCCTAGTTCAGACCCTGTTTATTCCTGGTTTAGTCCTGGTTTAGCCCTGGTTCAATCCTGGTTTAGACCCAGTTTATCTTGATTTTCATGATTCTCCTGCTTCTTGGACTTTGTGTTGCAACACAATAATTTCTTGTAATTTCTCTCTTACTGGGCAAATAAAGGTTTACTTTATCTGTATCCTGTATTAGACCTGTATGTTCTAGTTTAGTCCTGTTTTATTCTTGGTTTAGTTCAGTTTTTTTGTATTTTCACACTGGATCTTGACGATGTAAATGTAAATCTCTTCTCTGGGGTCTGAACCGGTGACCCTGCGGTGACGGGGCGCGTGCTGAACCCTCCGCTCTGTGTTCCAGGTACGTTCGCTCCAGGACCAAACACGACATCGACATGCGCATCGGGATCCACTCGGGCTCCGTCCTCTGCGGCGTCCTCGGCCTCCGCAAGTGGCAGTTCGACGTCTGGTCCTGGGACGTGGACATCGCCAACAAACTGGAGTCTGGAGGCATCCCCGGGTAAGGGAGGGCATCCGGGCGAAAAGGGAGGGCGTCCGGGCGAAAAGGGAGGGCGTCCGGGTGAAAAGGGAGGGCCGGGTGAAAAGGGAGGGCATCCGGGCGAAAAGGGAGGGCAAGGGCGTCCGGGCGAAAAGGGAGGGCGTCCGGGCGAAAAGGGAGGGCGTCCGGGCGAAAAGGGAGGGTGTCCGGGTGAAAAGGGAGGGCATTCGGGCGAAAAGGGAGGGTATTAGTCCTAGGGAGGGTTTAAAAGGGAGGGCCCGGGTGTCCGGGCGAAAAGTCCGGGTGGTTTAAAAGACCTGCTTTAGTTCTGCTTGAGTTTTGGTTTAGTCCTGGTTTTCTCCTGATTTAGACTCAGTTTAGACCCAGTTTAGTCCTGGTTTAGTCTTGGGTTAGTCCTGATTTAGACCCAATTTAGTCCTTTTTGAGTCTTGGTTTAGACCCAGTTTAGTCCTTGTTTAGTCTTGGTTTAGACCCAATTTAGTCCTGATTTAGTCCTGGTTTAGTCCTGGTTTAGACCTGGTTTAGTCTTGGTTTAGACCCAGTTTAGTCCTGGTTTAGTCCTAGTTTTGACCCAGTTTAGTCCTGGTTTAGACCCAGTTTAGGCCTGGTTTAGTCCTGGTTTAGTCCTGGTTTAGACCCAGTTTAGTCCTTGTTTAGTCCTGGTTTAGACCCAGTTTAGTCCTTGTTTAGTCCTGGTTTAGACCCAGTTTAGGCCTGGTTTTAGTCCTGGTTTAGTCTTATTCTCCTGCTTCTTGAACTTTACATTGCAACACTGCAATTTCCCTATTACAGGACAAATAAAGGTTTACCTCTATGTTCTAGTTTACTCCTGGTTTAGTCCTGGTCTAATCCTTGTTTAGTCCTGCTTTAGTCCTGGAAAAGGGAGGGCATCCAGGTGAAAAAGGAGGGTGTTTGGGTGAAAGGTGAGAGGAGGGGAGTGAGGTTTTGAGGGACGTCCCCGTGACCTCTGACCCCACAGACATGCTCCTTTAGCTCACACAGGACTGACAGAGCGCCCCCTGTGGACCGGCACAGTCTGGTCTGGCTCCGCCCAGTCTCACTCTCTCAAAACCATTCAGCAAACTGGACTTTTCAGAGGGTTTAATTGTGTTAAGAGCCGTTCACACCAAAGTGTCAAAAAACGCCTTGACGCCTCTATTTGGACGCCTTTGCATTTGAGTTTAGACGCCCCCGACGTGCGTCTTTGATGCCGTGGACGAACGGGAGAAAAATACTTGACGCGTGTCCGTTGCCCTGGAAACAAGAGCCCGGTCCCGCTCTTTTCCCAAAACAATGTCAGACCAGACTGAGAGAGACTTTAGTGTTTTTATGACATAAAACATCAGCAGAGGAGATCAGGTCGACGACTGGGGCGTGTTTATATTTATACTCCACTAATGACACTGGATCAGTCCTGGTTTAGTCCCGGTCTAGTCCTGGTCTAATACCGGTCTGGTCCCGGTCTAGTCCTGGTCTAATCACGGTCTAATCACGGTCTAGTCCCGGTCTACTCCTGGTTTAGTCCCGGTCTAGTCTCGGTCTAGTCCTTGTTTAGTCCTGGTCCGGTCCTGGTTTAGTCCTGGTCCGGTCCTGGTGTAGTCCTCGCGATCTGCTCGGTGATTGTGGTGCATATATTTATTCTCCGCTCATGTTTGTGGTTCTCGCTCTGGTTTTCGGGTTTTTCTTCCTGATAATAACGTCGCTGCGTCACTGGATACTCGTCTCTGATTGGTTGACGCGGCGCGTCTGACACAAAAAGTTCAGCATTTTCAACTTCTTGACGCTGATGCCTTGGACGCGCATCTAGAGCGTCGACGCAAAAATGCTCAAGACGCGCCGTGTCGACACCAGATTCGCGCCGCGCTTACGCAGGACGCTCTAGTCGCGCGTCCACATCGACTTGACATAGAAACTGGACACTTTGGCGCTTTGATGAGAACGGCCCTTTACAGTTGTTTCACATTGCAAAAACTAAAATCTAGTCAAGTTAAGATGACTTGAATTCAGAAAGTTTTATCCAGACTTCACTTGACAAGTAAAATTATCTGCCAGTGGAACAAGACTTTTTGTACTTAAAATAAGAAATCAAATTGAATGTTGCTTGAATTAAGAAAAACTCACTTATTCCATTGGCAGATAATGTTACTTGTCAAGTTGAATCGACTCAAATAAAGTCAAATGTTCTTAATTTACGTCATTTTTAATTTACCTAAATGTTGATTTTGGCACCGTTTGCTGTATTTGGACTGATTCGTTCAGTCTGAGTCATCTTAAATCACTTATTTTCAAGATGGTTTTGTAGGTTTTTAATGCGAAAGTCAGCGCACTTTATTTATTTATTATTATTATTATTTTTTTTTTTTTATTAATTCATTTTAGCAAGATACTGAAATATATAAATGAGGGTCTAAACCAAAACTAAACCAGGTCCATGTTAGGACTAAATCAGGACAACACTGGAGTACAGGGTCTAAACCAGGACTAAAACAGGACTAAACCAAGACTAAACCAGGATTGAACCAAGACTAAACCAGGACATAAAAGGTCTAAATCAGGACTAAATCAAGACTAAATCAAGACTAAACCAGGACTAAACAAGGAACAGTGAGATAGAACCAGGAATTTAAGGTTTAAACAAGAACTAAACCAGGTCCACATTAGGACTAAACCAGGACAATAGTGGAATATAAGGTCTAAACCAGGACTAAACCCGGACTATTATGATACGACGTTATGTCATGTGTGGAAAATAATCCAAAAGCGTAAAGTTTCTTCTCCCAATCATCTCCGTGGTTCCTTTTCCCTGCAGGAGGATCCACATCTCCAAGGCGGCCCTGGACTGTCTGAACGGGGACTACGAGGTGGAGGAGGGCCACGGGAAGGACCGCAACGACTTCCTGCGGCGCCACAACATCGAGACGTTCCTGATCAAGCAGCCGGAGGAGAGCAGCCTGAGCCCCCCCGAGGACATCATGAAGGAGGCGGGCGGGGGGGCCGACCGCCGCGCCAGCACCGCCACCTTCAACGAGGCGTCCTGGAGCCCCGAGCTGCCCTTCGACAACATCATGGGCAAACAGAACGTAAGCGAAGAAACCCGAGGCTGCTTTTGCTGTCGTAAACTTCATAACCGCGCATTTATTATCCTCAGTTAAAAAAAAAGCATGAACAAAAACTTAATTCATATTGAGCAAGTAGTTTATTAAAAGTCAGAAATGAAAGAAAAAATTACTCCTGTGATCAACTTTTTCGGTGGAGGGTCCGTCAAAAACTTCGTCTGAATCTGTGTATCGTTCGTTCGTTTTTCAATATAAAACCAACAATTTTCTTCATTAATTTGACCAGACCGGGACTGAGACCGAGACCAGACCTGGACTGAGACCGGGACTGAGACTGGGACCAGACAGGACTGAGACCGGGACTGAGACTAGGACTGAGACTGGGACTGAGATCGGGACTGAGACTGGGACTGAGGCCAGGACTGAGACCGGGACTGAGACCGGGACTGAGACCGGGACTGAGACCGAGACCAGACCGGGACTGAGACTGGGACTGAGATCGGGACTGAGACTGGGACTCAGACCAGGACTGAGACCGGGACTGAGACTAGGACTGAGACTGGGACTGAGACCGGGACTGAGACTGGGACTGAGGCCAGGACTGAGACTGGGACTGAGACTGGGACCAGACAGGACTGAGACCGACCAGACTGGGACTGAGCCCGGGACTGAGACCGGACTGAGACGGGGACAGACCAGGACTGAGACCGGGACTGAGACCAAGACCAGACCGGGACTGAGACTGGGACTGAGATCGGGACTGAGACTGGGACTGAGACCGACTGGGACTGACCAGACCGGGACTGAGCCCGGGACTGAGACCAAGACCAGACCGGGACTGAGACTGGGACTGAGATGGGACTGAGACCGGGATTGAGACCGGGACTGAGACCGGGATGAGACCGGGACTGAGACCGGGATTGAGACCGGGATTGAGACTGGGACCAGACTGGGACCAGAGCGAGACTGAGACCGAGACCAGACCAGAACTAGGCCATGACCAGACTGAGTCTGCTCTGGTCCCGCTTTGGTCCCGTCTCAGTCTCGGTCTGGTTCCGGTCTCAGTCCTGGTCTGGTCTCGGTCTGGTCCCAGTCTCAGTCCCGGTAACGCAATAGTTCCCTAGTACCTTATTACTTTTATCGTGGAGTTACTCAATAATTAACTCTTTTAACTCTTTAACAAACTTTCTGGGAGAAGTAACTAGTAACCTGTGACGGACCCTCAACCAAAAAGTTACACAGTGCATCTTTAAGACATGTTCTAATGTTGTTACCTCCTCAAAAACAGACCTGGAGCTTTTCTGAGTAACACTTTATTATTATTTAACAGTGTCGTTTTACTTTTAGTTCATTGGAGATTGTCAGTTAACAAACGACATCATAAGGTGAAACAAAACACGAGTCCAGGTCTGTTTGTGATGAAAATGACAATATATATATATATATATATTAAATAATTATTTATTATTATGAAGTAGAATCTTAATAAACTATTTGTCTTTGAAGTTAAGTCAGTGTTCATGTTGCTTTTATGTTATAATTTGAGTTTTGAGTACATTTTTACTTTGTTTGTGATTTTGATGATGTTCCAGGCCTTGGGGTCAGATCTAAATCCAGGTCCAAAACCTGGACTAAACCAAAACAGAAGAAGGTCTACAAAAAGCTCGACACTAGGACCAGAAATACACAATTAAACCAAAGTTATGAACGTAAATCATAGAAATAGAACTAGATCTGATCATTGAACTGTTAAATTTGTGATTTTGTGATGTATTATTCAGCCCTACCTATCCATACTTCATCACCTCTGCTCCTCTGCTCCTCCACACCTCCACTCATCACCTCTGCACATGAACTTCTGCCTGGTTTGGTCTTTGGTGGGTCGTGTTTCAAGTTGGTGGAGAAAGAATGGACATTACAAAGAAGTAAAAACAACTCAAAACAGGATTGGGAACGTAACGATAGATGTGATTGGGCACTCGGACTGAGGAGATCGTACGTTGTGATGGAAAGATGGAGCTGATCGATTTTAGATTTTCAGTTTTCAGTTTCAAATGACGTTGTGTTTTGTGGTGACGGTCTGGTGTACGGTGGCTGTGTTGTTGTTCGATCTGAACAGCTGCAAGGTGGACGATGTTTTGATAATAGTCGTCGAAATGACACAATTTTACATTTTCAATTTTCACTTCAAACGCAGATACTACTTAACCGGACTGGCGCCACCTAGTGCCTCCGCTCAATTTCATTTCTCTCCAGCGACTAGATCAGGAATCAGAATACACTAGACGGTTTGCAAGAACCCCGGAAGTTGTAGACCACACACCGGCCAATCAGTGAAGAGCTGAACCAACTCGAGTTGCGATAACAGACTGTATCTCCTACAGTACAAACTTTGCATTTTTTATTGCACCTTTAATTCGCAAGTTCATCTCGCAGAAACCAAAGTGATCATTGACAGACATGTTCACTCTCTGCTTTGTTTGCTGTTGTGTGTCGAGTGAACGTCGAGTGAACGAATCCTAATGCTGCGAGGTCAGACTTCGTGGAAACCAGCGGCTGAATCAGGCTAGATACTACCGTTCATTTGAGTAGATCAGGCATGTCCAAACTACGGCCCATGGGCCAAATCTGGCCCTCGGACAAATTTTTGTTGGCCCTCAGGCTTCCAGGAGAATTGGCCCAAATGACCTTACATCAATTAAAAATGAACTTTTTTCTGCAAGTTTTTTGAACATCTACCTTGATAAAGCTAATATTGAAGATTTAATGTGTGGTTTTGAGGATTTTAGCATGAATAAAGACTGATGTCTCATTCTAAAGTCTTAAACATGCCCATATTTCAATTATTCACTGTATTGAGCTCCCGTCTCCGGCCCTCGATCGGCCCTCTGCTTCGTCTGTGTTTAGAAATGTGGCCCTTAATGAAAAAAGTTTGGACACCCCTGGAGTAGACCTTTCTATCATGAGAAACTGAAAATATTGTGGAGGGCCGGGCTAAAATGCTTTACTCAATTCTGCATAATATTAATTGTATTTCTTTATTTTAAAAAAATCTGTAAATATCATTGTTTTGACAAGCTGGTAAGACTAGTAAGAGTTTATGTTATGACTAAGCAATGAAAAAGTGAGGTTGCTTTACAAAAAATGTCATTTAAAAAACACCTCAAATAAAAGCGATGCAGCTATAATCAAAGCATGAGGAAAAATGATAAAATATGTTTATTTTTTTAATTCCAAATTAGCTTAAACAGGCCGGTCAGAGTCAACCAAAGACCTGTATGTTGCCTTGGAGCTGGACAATGCCCGGGTCTGATCTAGAGTCTGTTCATGTCTGTGTGGTCCTGTGTGGACGATCTCTTCCAGGTTCCCCACTACAAAAGCATAAATATGGACCACATTGGGGTTAGGAGACAATCTCTGTGGGGTTTCCTTGTTAATTAAAGGTTAAATACTTTGAATAAAACACATGAGTACAATGTAAATACAGTGTATGGGTGGACTATGAAAGCTTTCAGAAATATGAATGTGCATAGGACAGAAATTCGTAGCCTGATTCATCAGCCGGTTTCACTTTGTAGAAACCGTCTGACCTCACAGCATTAGGATTCATTCATTCAACAGTAGGCAGGTACATTTTTATTTAACCAATCGCTGCTATTTGGTCGTGATGTATGTAATGCACCAATTGCAATAGGAAAAAAGCCAATAACGTCTCTCCCCTCGATAAAATTCACCAAACATTCTCTTTGTTTCGACTTTGAATCTCCTCGATCTCGGGAATCGTTGCCAACACAGAATTTTTGTCTTTGTCTGCATCCGTCTCGACGCTTTGTTTACTGTTGTGCTGTTCCACAAAAGGGACACAGAGAGACGCGACGAGTTTGAAGTCATGGCTTCAAAGCTCTTCTCTGATTGGCCGGTGCGCGGTTTACAACTTCCAGGGTTCTTGCAAAACGTCTAGTGTATTCTGATTCCTGACCTAGTCGCTGGAGAGAATTGAAACTGAGCGGAGGCACTAGGTGGCACCAACTAGAAATCTAAGAAATCTGTGCATATTTGTCTGTAGTTGAGCATAAAATAAATATTCGTAAACTCTCGAATGAGTCCAGTCGTACATGAAATGTGTTGTGTGTCTTTTATCCATTAGAATACGAATTGAACAGTTATGACGCCAAGAATTACAATCAGAATTACAAATCAAGAATTGGGATTAGTCCTGGTTCAGTCTGTACGCAGCGCAAAAGTCCAACATCTCAATCAATTTTTCTTCTGCTCAATAAATAATGCCTGTAAAGTAACGACGTAGTTTTGACAGTCGAGTCGCACCTGTGAATTCGTATTCGTACTGAAGAAAGCGTAATCGTACATTTTCATTTTGTGATTGTAATTCTCAATGTCGTAACTTTTCAATTTGTATTCTGATGGATAAAATACACACAATTCAAAAGTTTACGAATATTTATTTTATGCTCAACTGCAGCCAAATATGCAGAGATTTCATTCCTATATGCACACAAATATTTCTGAAAGCTTTAGTAGTCCATGTGTTTGGCTCTGTTCAGATCCTGGTCTGAGCAGCTGTATGGCGGCTGTGGTTTGTGTTGTTGTTTGGTCTGAGCAGCTGTACAGTGGTTTGTGTTGTTGTTTGGTCTGAACAGCTGTATGGTGCCGTGTGTTCTGTGGTGATAGCGGCTTGTTTGGCCCTGGTGGCCTTTCCGTGGCATTTCCTGGAGCTCTTGGTGGAACATGTTTCCTATGGGCCACACATGCTGCCAGTGCAGATCACAAATGTCACTGTGTGGCCTTTGAGCGCTCACAGATCTACACAACGGAATAATGAACCAGGCCCCGGGTCAGAGCTGGACTCAACAACACTCTACTAGTACTAAACCAGGTCTAAACCAAGTCTAAAACCAGGTCTACACCACAACTATATCAGGTCTAAAACAGATCTAAACCATGACTGTTTGTGGATTAAAATAGGTGTAAAATCAGGTCCAAAGCAGGACTACACCAGGACTAAA